CAATTTTGAAAAAATATATGCAATTTTGTAAGTACTTAAGTATGCTTTTTTTTTTTAATTTTTTTTTCAACGTTTTTTATTTATTTTTGGGACAGAGAGAGACAGAGCATGAACGGGGAGGGGCAGAGAGAGAGGGAGACACAGAATCGGAAACAGGCTCCAGGCTCTGAGCCATCAGCCCAGAGCCCGACGCGGGGCTCGAACTCCCGGACCGCGAGATCGTGACCTGGCTGAAGTCGGACGCTTAACCGACTGCGCCACCCAGGCGCCCCAAGTATTGCTTCTTTTGACATAGCAACACACAGAGTCCTTCCCCTTCTTGTTCTAAAAAGAGGAAATTACTTCAAATATCAAGGTGAATACCTAGGATTGAGAGAATTAATATCTTGGAGAAATTCAGAGCTACTCTTGCTTTACTTCTTACTGCTAGCTAGTAGAAATTTCTTTACCTACTTGCTTCTACTGAAATGAAGGGGAGGAAAAAAGCCACAGTGGACAACTGCAACTGTGATAAGCTGACAAAATTCCAGGGGTGCCTATCTGGCTCAGTCAGAAGAGCATGTGACTCTTGATCTCAGGGTTGTGAGTTCAGGCCCCACATTAGATATAGAGATTACTTAAATAAATAAACTAAAAAAAAAAAAAAGACAAAAATTATAGATGTGTTTATAGTGGAGCTTGAAGTAAATTAATCCAAGTTCATCAATTCTTCAAGTTAAAAAAGGGCGGGTAAGAAGAAATGGGCATGTTAAGTCTGCTAAAACCAACTGGACCCATATGGTTAGCCAGGAACAGTGGTCCCTTTCTCATCTGAGATTAAAATTTTATTCCTTGTCTCCCTGAGCAGCTGCTTCAAATTTTCAGGTATTGTCATGTGAAGCTTTAAGTGCTCATTAGAAATTCTCAGAGAGTATTCCCAAATCACCACATGGTGCTATACTCATTTTGGTGAGAGGTCTATCAACACAAATTATCTATTTCATCCTGAAAGTGTAAAAATTGGTCACCATGACATATAAAATACATGGTTTCTTTTCAACCAATGTATGCAGGTGACAACTGCATATGAATAGGAACAAGGATATATATATATGTATATATATATATATGTGTGTGTATATATATGTGTGTGTGTGTATATATGTATATGTATATACATGTGTGTATATATATGTGTGTGTATATATATATATACATGTGTGTATACATACACACACACACACACACATATATACATATTTTAAAGATAGAAGTAAAAAGTTCACATTTTCTACCTAAAGATAACAAGTATTTGAAACTTTTGGGAAAATAATCGTGTTATCTCCCTGTGACATCCTGCAATGATCCACATGGTTTCTGGAGAAGTGAAGAAAAAGAAACATGAAAAAGAGGCTGTAAGAGGAAAAAAAGAGATTATATGGGAAATAGTGTGAATTTTCCTAAGAATATGAATGATGAATAACCATCATAAGACTCCTCTAAAAACACCTCCATGTTTAATCCAGCCAAGTAAAAATTCACAATCCTAGTGATAAAGCCTACTCATACTAATGAAAATATCATTTCTCAATTATAGTAAACATACTTTATATGGAACTCTTTTAACCAAAAGAGGCAACAATATAAAACAATGCCAAACACTGCTTAGAAGTCTGATAGAAAATAAATATAATTCAAGTAATCATTCTTTTGAATAATTTTCAAGAAGTACATACCCTTTGCTACCTTTCAAGCACAGATTTTAAAATTCCAAAATTATTATTGTTAATTACAATACCTAAGTAGTTCCTATAATTTCTGTTGTTTAACCAGATTTCTATCAAAATCAGGACTTACTTTGTAGGACTGCAAACCAAACACAAAAACAACTGAGGGAAAAATTCTTTTAAAGTCTATTGCATCAATAAAAACACTCAAACATACTTTTCAAATAATTCCCCAAGTTTACTACCCCATTTTTTAAAAACCGCCATCTCTCATCTTCAGAAGCATTCCAAGGTTTACTTAGATTACCCCTGGAACTCAATGTTTAAATTCACCACATTAAGAAAAAAATAGACAAGAAAAATTCCAAGCCTACGAATTAAATCAAAGATGGATTCCCACTCTTGGCTCTTACCTACGATCCTCTGATTTGGGGATTGGGTTGGTGCAGCGTTGGCTGTTATATTTGGCCACATATTCACATTGCTTGAAGGGGGCAGTCTTGTCCTCCAGAACGTGTCTGATACAGAAAGCGTAGCCGTTGAGTCGCCGCTGCTTGCACAGTTTGGGGCTATATGAGCACAAGGGCTTATTGTCAACCTCAGAGAAGTGTATATGTTTCCCTTCATACATCACGTGACTCTATTCCTTGTGAACATCAGCTAAAAGACCACCACAAAAAAAGAAACCCAGATGATAAATCAGAGAGCATAAGGCAGATTTAAGTTGAGAATTTCACTGAGGGACTTCTGGCCCCACAGCCATACCTGATTTTAAATCTTCTGCACCATAGCAATGTTAAGAGAACCCCAAGGATACCACAGTTTGGAATGCTGCAGAATCAAGATGAAGCAGATTGTCTACAAAAATATCAAAAGGCCTAGTTAACAAATAGGAACATGAAAAGCTTGCTCACCTGGGAAGTGAAATTCTAGGATGTCACCCTTCCTAATGGGATGGATTCTTCATTGTAATCCATCATCCCGACATTAAGTTCAAATCATAAGAGACATGATAAAATATCAAGTTACCTTATCCCTCCAAATTGAACTAAATAACTTTTACTCTGGTTAAGTGTTGTAAGTACCTCAAAGTTACAAATGTCATAAACAGATGTCATAAGGTGGCAGGTCTTTTTTATTTCATTACTGGTGGCTGACTGCTGCATCTGTTTTCAGAGCCCAGATCTTTTCACAATACCGGTAGAATGAACCTACAGACCTAAAACTTCCCTCAGAAATTCAACATTTTTTGATATGTTGGCAAAATATTTGGCAATTTGCAACAAATGTTCCTATGAAATACAAAAAAAAAAAAAAGGAGGCAATCCCTATTTTAAAAGTCATTTTGCCTGTAATATTTTCCACATTTATCCCATCCAAACTATAAACTTCTTGAGCCCAAAGGCTCTTCACCCAATACACTGCTACCATTCAGCGCACTGCTATCCATAAACGCTGCTCCCAACTACACTAAATAGTCTAAGAATCATGACTTCTAAGAGTCTGGAGTTTTAGTAAACAAAATGCAAGTTAGAAATCACATAATGCCCACTACCTCTCTACACACAAAATGTCCAACAGGAACATCTACATATTGTAACTCCATATAGTCTACAATGAAACTGAATCAACTGATTTGTCAAGTCAGGACTGTATGTGGGCTGATGTGGTCTAACACTTTCTCCAGAACCCAAAAGTCACCCAGATGGCTGATGAAATAGCTTGGATCCTAGCTACAGAAAAACTCAAGAAATACTCTCTTCTTTACAAAACTGAATAGGAAATTCCTTACACCAATAAATGACAAGATACATAAATACTTAAAGGACTCAGAAGACAGGTTTGCCAAAATCTGCTACTTTCAGTGTTACCTTGAACAAATAATAAACGCTCAGTTTTCTCATATGCAAAATAGGGGTTAATAGTAGTAGCTATGTTACCATCACGTTGCTCTAAGGATCAAGTAGATAACAGAGCACACAACCCACCAAGTATCAAGCACTGAACAAATAGGAGTTACTAAAAAATGTCAATGCTGGGGCGCCTGTGTGGCTCAGTTGGTTAAGCTTCCAACTCCGGCTCAGGTCATGATCTCATAGGTTGTGAGTTCAAGCCTGCTTGGAACTCTCTCCCTCTCTCCCTGCCCCTCCCCCACTGGCTTTTTCTCTCAAAATAAACAAACTTAAAACAAACAAACAAAAAAATGTCAATGCTCTCCCAAGAAGACATCCAGATGGCCAACCGACACATGAAAAAATGCTCAGCATCACCCATCATCAGGGAACTACAAATCAAAACCACAATGAGATACCACCTTACACCTGTCAAAATGGCAACATTAACAACTCAGGCAACGACAGACGTTGGCAAGGATGCGGAGAAAGAAGATCTCTTTTGCATTGTTGGTGGGAATGCCAGCTGGTGCAGCCACTCTGGAAAACAGGATGGGGGGTTCCTCAAAAAAATAAAAATAGAACTACCCTACGACCCAGCAGTTGCACTACTAGGCATTTATCCACGGGATACAGGTGTGCTGTTTTGAAGGGACACATGCACCCCCATGTTTATAGCAGCACTATCCACAATAGCCAAAGTATGGAAAGAGCCCAAATGGCCAACAATGGATGAATGAATAAAGAAGACGTGGTATATATATACAATGGAGTATTACTCGGCAATCAAAAAGAATGAAATCTTGCCATTTGCAACTACGTGGATGGAACTGGAGGGTATTATACTAAGTGAAATTAGTCAAAGACAAATATGACTTCACTCATATGAGGACTTTAAGAGACAAAACAGATGAACCTAAGGGAAGGGAAACAAAAATAAAAACAGGGAGGGGGACAAAACAGAAGAGACTCATAAATACGGAGAACAAACTGAGGGTTACTGGAGGGGTCACAGGAGGGGGATGGGCTAAATGGGGAAGGGGCACTAAGGAATCTACTCCTGAAATCATTGTTGCACTATATGCTAATCTGGATGTAAATTTTAAAAAATAAAAAATAAAATAAAATTTAAAAATGCCAATGCTTTGGGGAGCCTGGGTGGCTCAGTCAGTTGAGGGACCAACCCTTGCTTTCAGCTCAGGTCATGTGTCTCCTGGATTGTGTGCTGGAGCCTCCACGTAGGCCTCTGCACCGACAGTGGGGAGCCTGCTTAGGATTCCCTCTCACCCCCTCTCTCTACCCCTCCCCCACTCATGCTGGCTCTCTCTCAAAATAAATAAATAAACCTTAAAAAAATGTCAAGAGGTGCCTGGGTGGCTCAATCAGTTAAATGTCTGGCTCTTGGTTTCGGTTCAAGTCCTGATCTAACTCTTCGGGAGTTTGAGCCCCACGTGAAGCACTGCACTGACAGTGCAGAGCCTGCTTGAAATTCACTGTCCTTCCCCTGCTCTCTCTCAAAAATAAATAAAATAAAAACTTTAAAAAAAATTTTTTAGGGGCGCCTGGGTGGCGCAGTCGGTTGGGCGTCCGACTTCAGCCAGGTCACGATCTCGCAGTCCGTGAGTTTGAGCCCCGCGTCAGGCTCTGGGCTGATGGCTTGGAGCCTGGAGCCTGTTTCCGATTCTGTGTCTCCCTCTCTCTCTGCCCCTCCCCCGTTCATGCTTTGTCTCTTTCTGTCCCAAAAATAAATTAAAAAAAAAAAAAAAAAAAAAAACGTTGAAAGAAAAAATAAATAAACATTAAAAAATTTTTTAAATAAATAACAGAACAAGACTGAGGGCAGGGATGGAGGGATATGATGGACCACCTTCACTTTTAAGACATATTCTAGGTTAACAATCACATCTGTGTAGATTGATGATTTCTCCTTTCTTTCCTATTTTTATACATCTTTTTTTCTCTATTTGAATTGGCTAGAACTGCTGGAATGATGCTAATAATAATGACAACAACTGTTATTCCTGTTAAATGAGAATTGCTTACCGTCAACAGTAGGAATAATGCAAACTTTTTATAAGACATATTTCCTATCATGTTAAGAAGTATCAAGTAATTTCTATTAAGAGTTGTTTAGGGGCACCTGGGTGGCTCAGTCGGTCGAGTGTCCGACTTGTGCTAAGGTCATGATGAGCCCTGCGGTGGGCTCTGTACTGACAGCTCAGAGCCTGGAGCCTGCTTCAGATTCTGTGTCTCCTCCTTCCTCTGCCCCTCCCCTGCTCATGCTCTGTCTCTCAAAAATAAACATTAAAAAACAAATAAAGAGTTGTTTCTTTTTTAAAATAAACTCAGAACTGATCGTTTTTTTACCAAATTCTTTTTCAGCTTCTCAAGAGAAAATCATTTTTCTCTTTTATACTTTTAAAAACACGGCACTTAGTATTTCTCATTAGTGATGTATTTAGTATTTCCTGATTTCCTGATACTTCATCCTGGGATGAAGGCAACTTGGTCATCATGTATTATTCTTTTAATGCGTCACTAAATCACACTTGCTAATTTTTAGGATTTTTGTAATTTGAGACTGGTCTAGTGTTTAGTTTTTGTGTGCTTTTTCAGAATTTGGTATCAAAATAATATTTCAAAAAATAACTTAGCAAATCTCTTTTCCTATGTACTAGAACAAGTTAAAAAGCACTGCAGTTATGTTTCTTAGAAGGATGCCTGGGCCTCGTGTTTTGTGTAGATCAGGTTTTCATACTTACCTGCACGCAATTTAGCAATAGGACCACTTACATTTAATTTCCTAAATATCCGTGATGCATTCTCTGACTCTGCGTCTGTTCATACACAGGTGACTCGTGCTTTCTCCCTTTGCTCATGATTAGGCTCAATGGGGGTTTATCTGTTTAAAACTGTTACCAACATCTTAAAAGAAAGGTTCAAATCTCTTAGATTTATTAATACCTCCAAGTATGTTTTCTAAATCCATCAACTTCTGCTTTTATATTTGCTAATACCTCCTTTCTGCTTTCTTTCCATTTTATTATTATTATTTTGTAACTTCTTGGGATGAATTCTTCTCCTCTATCATTCTTTTCTTTAGTAATTTACTTATATCTATGAATTTTCCGCTGAGTACGACTTTAGCCATATTCCGTAAGAACACACAGAATTCTGATGATTGGTATTACTAGTTGATACGGATTTGATTTTTCAATTTTTCCTTTAGCCCAAGAGTTGTTTAATTGTCTCAGCTGGCAGAGTTTTATGCTTTCCTTCGCTTTAGTTCTATAAGAATAAGGAGAATATGGATATATCTCTGCTTTTTGGATTTGACTGATATTTTCTCTGGGCTGTAATAGGGTATGCTTGAAAAAGTATTCATTGTTTCCATGGTGTGCTGTTTGCTATTCCGTATATCATGCTATTACCTTTTCCTTTTAAGTTTTCTAAAGCACAGTTTTAGATCATGGGTCAGCAAACTGGCTTAAAGGACAAATTTGGCCCACTACCTGTTTTTGTAAATAGTTTTACTGGAACACTGTCCTGTTCATTCATTTTACATGCTGTCTATGGCTGCCTTCACATCGTAATAGAGCTGAGTAGTTACAAAAGAGAGCGTATGGTCATGACACTTAAAAAACTCACTAAATCAATCAATCTCTAAAATATTATTTGCTGGTCCCTTTTCAGATGCATCTCTTAATGGATGTAACTTTTTTGTCCCAATCTGTCATTTTCTTCTAATAAATGAGTAGTATCTAATTTATAATTTTATATTTATTTACATGACAAGTAGTTTGTCCTAATTTTATTTTTTTTGTATTGCTTTTAGCTTTTAATTTTTTATTAAAAATTTCACTATATAGTCTGTTTTCCTGGAAGATTTATAGTCTGTGCCCTTTAGATAACATCTCTTCACTCCACACTAAGAAAAGAAATTGGTATATGATTGACCCTCTGAAT